ACTTCCACAAATACATCTGGATGAGCGCAGACTCATGATAATGACAGACACCTTTTACCTAAAATCAATAGGGAGATTGATAAATCCGCTAGATTATATAATTTTTCTGTACATGAAGAGTATGAAGAAAATTTGATTTATCCATTACAATTTTACAATGTTCGGTTGAGAATTGAAATTCTTTTGGTTGCAAGAAGTATGCATAGTACCATCTCCGTATCTTTTTTTCTCATTATCTGAACGTTTCCTTTCTGGTTTCATCTGAATGTGAATAGGCTACCGGGTATTTGTTGACATTAATAATTAAATTTATCACGGAACTCCTTGGTTTTGAAAAAAAAATGTGTATAAGATATTCACATTACCCTAATTTCTTTTCAGAATGATGACAAAACATGTACAGTCGGTTCTGGCGCTTCTGACGTGCAAAATTGGTTCCATCTTCAGGTGATTTTGGTGAGAAAAAATTAGGTTCTAGTATCTAAAATAATTCAGCCAAGCTGGTTCAATAAACACTAATTAAGAATCATATGTTCTTGAAATAATTTAGTTCAATCTCATAACATTTTTTAACTTTTTAGCTAACCTGAGCTGAAAGCACATTTTATCTGTGTTCCGTCTGTCTGTATACTTTTCACATTTTCGACTTCTTCTCCAGTACCACAGGGCCAATTTCAACCAAACTTGCCACAAAGCATCGTTGGGTGAAGGGGGTTCAAGTTTGTTCAAATGAAGGACCACGCCCTCTTCCAAGGAGAGATAATTAAGAATTGGTAAAAATTTGGTGTTATCTTTTAAAAATCTCCTCAAGAACCATTGGCCAGAAAAGTTGAAACTTATGTAAAATCTTCATTACATGTGTAGATTCAAGTTTGTTCAAATCATGACCGTGGGTGGGGTCACAATGGGGGATCAAAGTTTTACATAGGAGTACTGTTCATAGGAAAAATTTTAAAAATCTTCTTCTCAAAAACAACAAAGCCACAATTAGTCATATTGATATGGAATCATCCTCAGGTAGTGTAGATTCAAGTTTGTTCAAATCATGACCTCCGGGGGCAGGGTTGGGCCATAATGTGGGTTCAAAGTTTTACTTAGGAATAGGCCAGCATTTTTTTTTATTTTTAGGTTTACGAACACCAGAATAAAAAAGTTCCGTAGGAGGAGGAAATTAAAAAAATAAAATTATTTTTTTGGATAAATTATCGACTTTTGTACATTCATTTTTGCTTCTTTCTTATGCTCTTCTAACAGGCTCTTTGCCACTGGCCACACAATGGTTTTAAATAGGAAGGCAGATCCTTAAATTGTTTATTTCATTGTCTGCCAGTTGAGGACAGTGATATAAATTTTGAGATGTTGGTCAAAATACAAATTGAAAAAAACAACAATTTTTTAAAATTTCTTTTTTACTCTCACAATATTTAAGCTTCATTTTTTAAAATATTTGATTAGTGATTGCGTAGAAATTGTTCTTAAAATATACTCGAGACCTTAAGTAAATATTCCTTTCATATAACAGACAGGGAGTATTGGGGATGGGGGTAAAAAAATTTTCAATTAAGCGTAAAATAATTTTCCTTGCTGCCACATTCAAAAACAATACTACATGCCTGTATATACTTGTATATACTGCGTACTTGTTTTCTTTAAAAGTTGAAATGTTTCATTTCTTTAGGCTATTGTTTATTTCACCCTCAAATGGACATCATTTCTCCCATAGTTTTATTCATTACATCTGATGCATAAGCGATCCTTTTCTGAAGAATGTTGCCTAGACTGTAAGCTATAGCAGAGACCTAAACAATGTCTCTGACTATAGCTACCATGGACAGTTTTTAACCTGTGGGAGTAAATTAATTTACATGCGGATACGTTTGAACACGGATACATAATTATCTCACCAACATGTCATTTTGCAACAAAGTCGTCAGTATTTTATTTGTCCTCTGAACGAATGAAACGTTTTGAATGACACTCCTTCATTACTTCATTACATTCGATACAAGCTATGATGCTGCTAAGGACTATAGATCTAGTCTACCTTTATCTTAAACCGAAAGTACGAGTTCGTAAATTTGAAATCTCGATCCCGACTAAAATTTAGCATCGGAAAGAAAAAATTCCTCAATTTTATTTTTTTCTTCTAAAAATTCAAAAACCTGAGCGGCGGGTTTATAAACCTAGAAAAAAAATGCTGGCCAATTATATCTGAAAAATCTTTAAAAATCTTCTTCTCAAGAACAACAGAGCCACAGTTAATCATATTGATATGGAATCATCCTCAGGTAGTGTAGATTCAAGTTTGTTCGAAACATGACCCCTGGGGGGTAGGGTGGGGCCACGATGGGGGTCATAGTTTTAACATGGGAATATATAGGAAAAGTAAAAAATCCTCTTCTCTAGTACAAAAAACCACGATTAGTCATATTGATATGGAATTATCCTCAGGTAGTGTAGATTCTAGTTTGTTCAAATCATGACCCCGGGGAAAGGGTGGGGCTACAATGGGGGATCAAAGTTTTACATAGGAATATATAGGGAAAATCTTTTAAAAAAATATTTTCAAGAACAGGAAAGCCATTATTAGTCATATTGATAAGGAAGCATCCCCAAGTATTGTGGATTCAAGTTTTTTAAGGCATCCTCCAGTAAAAGGGTTGGGCCACAAGGGGAGATCAAAGTTTTACATAGGAATATATAGAAAAAATCTTTAAAAATCTTCTTTTCAAGAACAAGAAAGCCACAATTAGTCATATTGATATGGAATCATCTTCAGGTAGTGTAGATTATATACTGAAAGAAAAAAGAAACGCAGGGTAAACTTTTAAGGTGAAATAAGGTTATATATTTGAGACGTATTTTCCAGTTATCCTATCTAACATTTAAAATCCTCTTTAATAAAAATGTAACCAAAATCTCATTTGATTTTCCCCAATAGTTCATAAGTTATTGAAACTCATATGACGATACCCTCCAAAAGTGAAAAATGAAAATTCACAATATTTCACATGTCTCCCTCGCGCATATGTCACAGCCTTGATTCTCCTATTCATGGAGTTCATCAGTGTGTTCATCCTTCCGAGAAGGCAGCCCTAAATTAATTGAGACCAACTCTATCGTCCACGTAGTCCCACAGACGTTTGATGCGAAAAATATGGACTTGACAGAGAACAGTCAAGTGAATAAATGTGAATGTTTGCGAGAATATCTTGACAAACCCTAGCAGCATTGGGAGGGGGGTTAACATACCAAAAAAATAGGCAAACGACGCACGCTTGCGCGAGTTAGAGGAACACTTACGGAAAGTTGACGAGCTCACAAACCAAAATTGCGCTATCGATTTCCTTCAGTTTTGGGGTGAATGTAACGATTATGATAGCCTGCTGTATTAATAGCAGTTTTAGAGTAATGTGATGGTGAATATACAGGTGGCAGGATGAATAGCCCGATCTTTACGTTGCGCTGTTACGCGTCAGTGTCATCGTCACGGTTGGTTGGAAACCTTTCTACGCCCTCTCTGAGGACGGGTAAAACGTTCTTTTGTGGAAAAATTCTCAACAAACTGCACATAAACCTGTCGTTGCCTTTGTCCTTACTTAGGCAATGCAATAGCCAGACCCCATGATACTACCGTCAACCGTATCTTGATTTAAAAAAATGCAAATCGACTGTTTATATCGAAAAACGATGTGTATAACTTAAGTGCAGCAAATGGTACTACGAGATGTGTTGAAAAACATGTCGTTATCGATATGCACGTGTTTTCGGCTTTTTACCACTTTCCTTATGTGACGTCATAAATTTCTTATTTGAGTAGTTCTGAACACTGATTTTAATGCACAGTAACCAAGATTTCCCTCTGACCAATTTTCATAATTTTCGGTTGTACAGTCAAAAAATTTTCGCATATTATGTTACCCTGCGTTTCTTTTTCCTTTCAGTAATATTAAAGTTTGTTCAAATCATGAACCCTGTGGGTAGGGTGGGGCTACAATGGGGGATCAAAGTTTTACATAGGAATATATAGGAAAAGTAAAAATCCTTTTATCAAGAGTAACAAAACCATGGTTAGTCATATTGATATGGAATTATCCTCAGGTAGTGTAAATTCTAGTTTGTTCAAATCATGACCCCCGGGGGTAGGGTTGGGCTACAATTGGGATCAAAGTTTTACATAGGAATATATAGAAAAATCTTTTTAAAATCTTTTCAAGAACAGGAAAGCCATGATTAATCATATTGATATGGAAGCATCCCCAAGTATTGTAGATTAAAGTTTGTTCAAGGCATTCTCAAGTAGTAGGGTTTGGCCATAATGGGGGATCAAAGTTTTACAAAAGAACATATATATAGGAAATATCTTTAAAAATCTTCTTCTCAAGAACAACAAAGCCATGGTTAGTCATATTGATATGGAAGCATCCTCAGGTAGTGTACATTCAAGTTTGTGCAAATCATGTTATATGGATATAGAAGCATATCCTCAGAAAGTTTAGTTTCAATTTCATTCCAAACATGGCACTTGAGGGTAGGGTATGCCTAGAACAGGCGTTCAAAGTTTTACATATGAATATATAGGAGAAGATATCTGCTGATGAAGAACAGCTGTGCCATATTAACTCAGGTGAGCGTTGTGGCCCATGGGCCTCTTGTTTGAACAATTACTTTCTTTTGGTTTCAGTCCGCCAGTTATATGTAACACTATTCGAATGAGAATTCTAATTTTCCTGGTTTCATCCTTACTTAGATATTGTTTATTCTGGAAAGAAATATCTATTCTATTGGTGTTTATTATCTTAAGACTATATCGATATCTTTTATAGATTTATTATCAAGGAGAAAAAAGAGAAAATGAAAGTTTCAATTGCATGTACAGTCATCGTTGGCATTCTTCTCAATTTTCTGGTAATCTACAAATCACGCAGAAATGTATTCTATTTTAGTTTTTATGTGCTTGCTATTACTTCAATTCTTATTCCGTGTGTCTTTTATTTAAGATCACGAAAGCAATATCGAATTCTTGTCACCAAAAAATGAGAGTGACATCATGTCCTGAATCTCTAAAGGCTTGGAGGGAGAGGGAACATTTAAAAGGATGTTATGTGCCTCAAAATACCTGCGCTGCATCGGGGCGTTCAAATGTGACGCACATGTACCATTGTCTGCCAAATGAGTTTTTAAATGCAACATACGAAGTGTGCATGCCTGCGACATATATACTGGGTAGGTAAATAAGATTACTGAATGATAAAACATGATGCAGTTTTTTGTCATTCTTCAAAAATTAATTATTAAGTCACTCAGTTGACCTTTTGTTGTCTGTTTTCGCCCATCGTTGTTCCTCTTGCATCGATTGTGAACATTTGACCATTATCAGCTTCTTCTATGGAACCACTGAAAAAAAAATTCAACCATTTTATTTATGCATAGGATCTTTGTACAAATAGGGAAAAATTGTGAATTTCATGGTCTCTGTCTCCCTGGGACCTGAGGGATGGTGCCATAATTATTAAAATTAATGCAATCTTCAAAATCTTCTTTACTCCTTGACATTTAGCAGACAAACTTTGAACGTAATTGTAATGAATTTACCTCTCAAAATTGTTAAATCCCCACCCACCCAGCCACCTCGGCTGAGGCCAACGCCATGTCAGTTCATGTATTGAAGATACAACTTCAAAAATATCAGGCAAGCTGTTTAGATGATTACAATGAGAATCAAAATTACACAAGAGGCCCAAGGGCCTTTACGGTCATATGAGTATAATGTAACAATCCATAGATTAAAACAAAATATTTTGAAGCAGCAATTTTTTTCATTTTGACCTTTCCTATATTGCCCTGGGCAGTGAGTTTATGCTGTATAAATATTATTAGGCATTTGATTATTGAATAAACCTTACCAAACAGTACTGGTATGCATAATTATAAAACGGTTTTTTATAATTAACTTAAAAAATTAAGTGTTTGAAATGTAATTGCAAAATACATGACATTTTTGGAATGTATTTAAATATATTCAATTACTTGTAATTGAAAGCAAACTCAATTACAAAACTTTCAATTACTTTGAAAAATGTTTTTAAATACAGTAAATTACAATTACTTATTTCAGTTACTAGTATCCCATCCCAGTTTAATAGACCCCCAACCCCCGACATGAACCCCTGACCCTAGGGCCACAAATTTCACAATTTTTGAAGAGGCATCCTTGATCATCATAACCATGCACTAAGTTTATCTGATAAATGCCCATAAGCAGAAAAGATATTCAAAGAATTAATGCAATTTCACTATAAAATCAATAAAAACCCGCCCTAACACCAGAACCCTGACCCAGGAACTGCGATATACACAATTTTAGAAAAGTTGCCCTTCCTCATCATAACTATATACTTGGTTTATCTGTTAGATACCCAGGGGCAGAAAGAAGATTTTCAAAGAATTAGTGCAATTTTATTATATAACCAATAGGGACCCACCCTAACACCAGAACCCCTGACCCAGGGGCCAAGATATTCACAATTTCGGAACAGGCGCCCTTGCTTATCATAACTATATATTTGGTTTATCTGCTAAATACCTAGGAGCAGGGAAGATTTTCAAAGAAATAATGCACTTTCACTATATAATCAATAGACCCCTACCCACAGAACCCCTCACTCTGGGGCCACAAATCATCATAACCATGCACCTAGTTTATCTGCTAGGGGAGTTTATGTGCAGGGGAATAGAAGAAGACTTTTAAAGAAGTTATGCATTTTCACTGTATGATCAGTAGAGCCCAACCCTAACTCCAGAACCCCCGACCCTGGAGCCATGAATTTCACAATTTTGGTAGAGGGCTCAATCCATATTAGAATTATGTCAACAGTTTGACTGCTTGATGTCCAGGAGTAGAGAACAAGATCTTTAAAGATTGCACTCATTTTGATGGTTTTGGCCCCGGTCCTTAGCCCCCCCCCCCCGGGGGGGGGGGGGGCAGGGACCATGAAATTCACAATTTTTGTTCCCCTTTACTCATAGATGTTCTATGCCAAAATTGGTTGAAATTAATTCAGCGGTTGCAGAAAAGGAGCTGAAAATGTTCAAATGTTAACGTGCGACGCACAACGCACGACGACGGACGAAAATGGATATCAAAAGGTCACCTGAGTGGCTCAGATGACCTAAGAATTGATGACTCCTGGGTCCCGTGTTCAGGCTGTAGGGTAGGACAAGTTAACCATATATTTAAAATGCATTAAATTTAAAAAAAATTATTTACTCATGAAATTTGGACTGGCGGTTATGAAATTTCTTAAGCTTATTAAGTCAAACTTTGTTTGCTGTGCTGAAATGTACAGAAGCGTATTAGCGCCAATAAAAATTTTTTGTTTTGGTAATTCCATCTTTAAAAATTTGTCATTCTAACTTTAAAGTTGATTATTCCAACTTTGAAATTTGGCTTTTCCAACTTTTTAAGGATTTTTGCGATTTACTCCTATACGTTGTAGCTTGACTCATGTTTATGTTTTATAATTACAATGGAAAGAACGATTTTATTGCTATTTTAAAATTTTTAAAATTATGACGAATAAAGTGGGGGGGGGGGTGGCTTTCATTGTGATTTTCATATAGAGAATTGATACACTTAGTACAAGTTTTCTGATAAATCATACTTTCCCTGTATTAATTTTGCATTTCTAAAGTTGATGATAATATAAAATGAAGAAAAAAAACCAAGGAAAGGGTTAGAAAAGCTTAAATTTAAGTTGTAATTACCAACTTTTAAGTAGGAAAAGCCAATATTTAAGTTGGAAAAGCTAACTTTAAAGTTGGAATTACCAACTTGTTTAAGTTGGAAAAGGCAAGATGAAAATTGGATTTACCAACTTAAAAAAAAATATATTATGTGGCACTAATACGCTTCTGTAGAAATTTAACATTTCATTTTTTTCCATATTGTGTTGTGCTTTTTTATTTCAATAGCCCTGGTTTCGTAAATTATATTTTACAAGGATTTTCTGGTATTTCAGTATGATAATTCTATTTACTGTATTCAGTTGTTACTTAACGTAAAACCCATTTATTATCAATCTTTTATAAGCTTGACCATGTGTTGACATTCCACTTTTACTTTTTAAACAGGAAGTGTCACCCATGTTGGCAGTCTTTCCAATATACTTTTGATAGCTGTGTTCTGATTGGATAAGTTAGCCTTTGGATCTTTGATATTTATTGGCTTTTATTTTTGAGTCTAGCCAGGGTGTAAAAATTGTTCAGGTAGTTTTCTTCATTTGGTGCTAACAAATTCTTATGATATAATAGCAATTAGGTCTTAGCTAGCTTTAGCTTTAAGCTAGGATGTAGGATTTATAGACTTTAATTCAATTTCCCCTTTCCAAGTCCAGCCTGTTTTAGGGATTTGTAGATAAGAAATCTAACTTCTTGAACCACTATTCACTATTTATTTTTGGTATTATTGTTTTCTATGTTAGTTATTATTAGCTCAGACTCAGCATTATTTTTTTAAAAAAGAGATCTACCTCCGGTTACATAATATTTGATGCCATGCCCTGGAAGTGACAGTTAAAAGACTGTCAGGGAAGAGCCTGGGTAGGGTTATGCGACTTTTAAGGAGGGGGAATGTAGTGACTGGACGGGTTAGATCGCCGGTGGCCAGATAGTTCAGAAGGTAGAGCACCTGACTTGAGATTCAGGGGACCCAGGTTCGAATCCTGGTCTGGTCAGTCGCATTTTTCTCCTTTACTGTTACAGTTGATTTACAAAGGTGTTATTTTAGACAATAAAACATATTACAGATGATTAAAAATTTGACGTAATTTTAATTCTGTTTCATGGTCCATGGGCACGTCAGACAAATTGTTTTGCTTGATTATAATTAACATTAAGCCCTCTACCTAAATTATTGTCCCTTGACCAAAGGCTCAAATCCCCTGGTGTGGCTAAATTGGTAATATATTGAAAGTAAATTACATCATGGACATGTAGCAGGAATTTTTTTGATAGCCTTCATCAACAGTATAAAATTTTTGCCCCCAGAACCAGACCCTTAGGGTGGGGGTCAAACTGATCATATATTGAATTTATTATACTGTGTACGTTATTTTCTTTTCTCCTGTACTTTTATAACGTTTCAGGAATTTCCTTTTCAAATATGCTATGAATTATTATTCAGTAAACATCTGCCGAAGAGTTACATGTACATATATTTACATTTGCAAATGTTTTCTTTTATATAACACTATTGAAGGCAACGCGTATCTATATCCGTATAAACACGGGTTCCTCGCGTCATAAACGTTCGACGTAATTTCTCAGTGACGTCATAAAGGGTCGACGCGCAATCAGTGGATCAAACATGTGCCGTTGGGTTTGAAAAATAAAACGTTTCACGCGTTAAATATTATAATCAGGCAAATATAAAATATGAATAAGTCACAAATGTAAATATAAGTAATAAGGTATCATTTTAAAACATCTATCGGGCTATAAATACGGGTTGGTACGAGATCAAATTTACCATAAAGCCCTTCGGGCTTTATGGAATTTGATCTCGTGACCAACCCGTATTTATAGCCCGATAGATGTTTAAAAATGATACCTTATTTCTTAAGTATATCTGCAGGCATTGAGAATATCTTAAACAAAAATGCTCATTCAAATGTACAGAATTATAGATTCCTTCAAAATCAGTTTTAAAATGTAATTAGCTTGTGCAAAATGGAGAGGACTTGCATAGGCATTCTTGACAAGAGCAATATGTAATGGTAATTCATTTTAATCATTACATCTTTTAGAGTAATGGATGTAATATTGTGCAATACATCCACCTTACAAGTATTTGTAATGTATTACTTTCAACAAATGTCAGTAATGACCATTACTTTTCAATTCCATTTTGTGGTTTATTTTTTCACTTTTCGTATCATTGAATGTGAAACAAATCAAGGTCACTGTCATTGATTTTTATTTATTATTAATATTGTATCATTGAAATTAGAATTTAATTATCTTACCTATTTCTTTTTTTAAATGTTTATTCAATGCTGATCGACATTCTTAGTGATTGTTTTTATAGAGAACGTCTTAAAAACAAGTGACATTTCTACTAGTACATCTGCTATATTTCTCTGGCCACTTATCAGTAACATATAAACTATAAGCAATGGACTTGGTTAGCAAGATAGCTACTAGAAGGTACAAAGGAAAACCTTAAATATATTGTAAATGGCTGCGCAATAATATCGATATTCCGGTATATTGCGATTCGTTAACAAAAATATCGTATTGCGATACGTTTTTACAGTACCGGTAAAATGATTGGGCATTAGATTTATGAAGTAAAATATGAAATTTAAGATGACAGAAACGTTTTCAATCGTGCCAAACAGTACCAAACGGTAAATGTTTCTGTTGTATGGTTGCATTTCGTTGCCAAACTAGTGAAATCAACAGGAACTTTTTTATTACAACGTATTTATAAAAGTTTTATACACTCAGCTCATAATTTTTTTGTTTGTTTATTGTTTATTTGTTTATTGTTTAACGTCCCTCTCGAGAATTTTTCACTCATATGGAGACGCCATCATTGCCGATGGAGAGCTACAAATTTTGTCCTGTACTCGGCACTTACGGCCATTGAGCAGTGAGGAATCTTTTTCGTGCCAGCACCTATTGCGACACGGGACCTCGGTTTATACGGTCTCATCCGAAGGACCGGTCTCCACGTCCCACAGTGGATTCTCAGCTTATAAATGGAGGTTAATAAAATGAGAAAAGAGCATTTTAACTGTTATTAAAAATATTGCAATACATATCGCAATGCGGTTCCAAATATGGCAATACGAAATTTCCAGTCGATACCAAGCCCTTATATTGTATATAAAATATACTTTATATGGATGTACTTATACATCTTGTGCCTTATGGAGAAAGCTTATATGGATGTCTGCTGTATGTTGATCTAAATGAGATACGTTAAAATAAAAAGTTACCCCGGCCATAGTTTATTTCTGGTAGTTTGAGAATCACTTCTAACTTCAAATTCTACTAGTATTTCCTGGTACCGGTATAATTATTGACTTTTTATTGTGTTAAAATTATAGCGTCAATAATTAGATAGGCTTATTTTTAGTGCTAATATATTTAATTAATTAGTAGTCGACTTTCAAATTTGCAAAAGTTGCTTCCCTTTGCAGAGTCATTCTTGGGGTCAGTCGGCGTAAGCCACTGTATAATACTTTATAATAATATATAATAACTTTAGGTTATGGGATAGTGTCTTACAAATTAAATATGTACGAGTATGTCGTATGTATATGTTCATTATGTTTTTTTTTAAATGATCCATATTATGGCAATACAAGAAGGGTACTAAATAGTCCGAAAGCGTTATGTACAGTGAAGTTACAAGTGATATAGTGAGGAAAAAAAGAGCGTTACGCCGACTAATACCTACATTTGCTGATGGTCGGTCGACCAAATTTTTCTCGTATCGTCGGCTGAAAAACATGATCGGCCGACATTAGTATCGGACGACATGAAGGACGTCAGCCGACGATACGAGAAAAATCTATTAGGCTATTGTATATTTCACAAATCGTATTTTTTGAGAAAGTGGTGTTTTGTTTTGTTTTTGAGAAAGTGGTGTTTTGTTTACTTTTAAATTTAATGCAATGCATTTAGAAATTCTTACCATTGTAAATAAAGTTGCAGTTAAAATTTATAAATCATAGTTAGACTTTTGTAAATTTTTTCTAAGATTACAATAACGAGAAGCACTCCTGGCAACAAAAAAGTGGGATAATCGCTATAATATCGAAAATAAGATGCTCCCTCTCTCTCTCTCTCTCTCTCCGAGAGTTCTCATTGAAAATTTTTTTAAAAATATTCCAGGTAAAAGATGTGCTGAATATAACGCACATGGCAGAGTCATTCAGTCGAATTTGGCAAACCGTTGTGAAACATGTCCAGTCAGATACATATCAACTGATATTTATAAATGTAAGTTGGTATTATTCTTCTTTTTATTCCTTTTTTAAAGTAGTTTATATAGTTATTATCTAAAATTGGAATGCTACAACAAAATTTTAGTTAATGGATCTTTAAGACATCTCGTTTGAAATTATACAGTTTCAGCATGGAAAGATTAATATTAGCTCTTAATTATGTCATATGTATTTTTTTTTTTGGTACTTTTTTTTTCAAAGAAAGTGAAAATTGTTTTATTTTCAAAAAAATGCTTTAGAGTTTAAAATTTGTTGTTAATAAACGCAAAATATAAATATCTAATAAAACATTTCAAGAAAAGTCAGATAGACTTTTGAAACTTTTTATCAAAAAATAATTTATGAATTTAAAAAATATAATTTGTTAATTTTTTTATACCTGAGGATAAAATCGCCAAGAAACAAGTGTCCTATTGAAAAGAAATATGACGCAATTGTTTTTGATAAAGAAATTGAAATGAAAAGTTTAGGAAAAATTATTAATTTTCAAAGTTGAACCAATCCCGATCAAAATTAAACTGATCTCAACCAGAATTATATAAAATGGAAGTATATCACAATTTCACAGGAATAGTAGTTTCCTTTGGTGTGATATGGTTTACAAAATAATTGAACTTGTTATCATATCCCATTGGATTTCTAAGTAGAAACTGTATTAGATAGGCAGTAATAATGAATGTTGTATTGATTTTTATCGAAATCGGTTAAATTTTGATCTGGAATTGGTTCAAATTTGAAAATTAGCATTTTCTTCGTAAGTTCGACAATTTTATTTTAGTTTCTTTTTAAAATATGATTGAGTATCATATGTTCCCCCTTTGTGACTTGTTTCTTACAGACTTATCCATAGGTTTAACAAGAGGCCCACGGGCCTTATAGGTCACCTGAGTATCACGTAACAACTTTCCAACAATTGAATTTGGTTTGTATTTTGCACCAGAGGCCATGTAACTCACAATTTTGAAAGAGGCACTATTGCTCATCATAACTATACAGTTAGCATGCTTACTTTGATTACTTAATACCCAGAGGCAGAGCAGAGGAACAAAAACAAGAGAAGTAGGAAGATCAGGATCAACAAAATAATTAGTCTAGTATTCACTATCAACTCAGAAATTGAGTTCTAATCTGTCCCCCACTTAACACTATCACCATGCAGACTATTAACTAACTATTAGTGCTTCTGTACTATTTTTAAACCCATATTAAGATCTCTACCATTGACCTCTCTTATGGTCTTTGAAGAACTTTTAATAAGATAAGTTATTTTTGTCTCATTTTTATTTATCTATTACTTACAGGTCTACCTGATTATTAAAACTAAGAAAGTACTTTTTTAATTATACGATAAACATTCTTGCATAATTATCTTATTCTATTAACCTTTCAAATCCATTATTTACAGTGATTAATTATCAAAGGTGAATGGAAAGGGGGAATAACTTCTCTCAGTAGAATACAAATTAATAGAGCCCTGCCCAGGACCAGAATGCTTAGACGAATGGTCCAGATGTTTAAAAATCTGGTAGAAATACGCTTACTCATATCATTTAAACTTTTACTCAGTTTGCTTCCGATATGCCCAGAAGCAGAGAAGAATTTCACAGGTACAATGCATTTTCACTACAGATTCAACAAAGCCTTACCCTAACACCAGAACCCAAGACCAAAGGTCAAGAAATTCACAAATTTGGAAGAGTTACCCTCATCATCATTACTATGGACTTCAAAGAATTAACACTTTTCCACTATATTATCAAAAGCCCCCCCCCCCCCCTCGTTATGCCAGAACCCCTGACCCTAGGACCACAAGATTTAAAAATTCTGTTCGAAGCTCCCATTTTCATCGTAGCTAAGCAATTTATTTATCAGCTCAACACTAAGGAGCCGACAGGATTAATTAATGATTAATTAATAGAATTAATGCTTTTTCACTATATAATCAATAGAGCCCCCCCCCCTCCTCAAGAACCCCAAAAACTGAGGCAATATATTTAAAAATTTTGGAAGAGGCATCCTTGTCTATCATAATCATGCACTTAGTTTGTTTAAATAATCTCCAGTAGCAGAGAAGAAGATTTTCAAAGAATTAATGCATTTTCACTATATAATCAATAGAGCCCCGCCCTAACACCAGAACCCCTGACCCTGGGGCCATGAAATTCACAATTTTGGAAAAGGCATCCTTATGCATCATAACCATGCACTTAGTTTGTTTAAATAGTCTCCAGTAGCAGAGAAGAAGATTTTCAAAGAATTAAAGCATTTTCACTATATAATCCATAGAGCCCTGCCCTAACACCAGAACCCCTGACCCAGGGGCCATGGCTTTCACAATTCTGGAAGAGGCCCACCTCCTCATCATAACTATGTACTTAGTTTATCACCTTAATGCCCAGGAGCAGAGGAGAAGATTTTCAAAGAATTAATGCATTTTCACTATATAGTCGATAGAGCCCCCGCCCTTACACCAGAACCCCTGCCCCTGGGGCCATGAAATTCACAATTTTGGAAGAGGCACTCTTGCTTATCATAACTATGTACTTAGTTACTGAATTTGATACCCAGGAGCAGAGAAGAAGATTTTCAAAGAATTAATGCATTTTCACTATATAATCAATAGAGCCCCGCCCTAACACCAGAACCCCTGATCCAGGGGCCATGAAATTCACAGTTTTGGAAGAGGCACTCTTGTTCATCCTAACTATGTACTTAGTTACTGAATTTAATACCCAGTAGCAGAGAAGAAGATTTTCAATGAATTAATGCATTTTCACTATATAATCAATAGAGCCCCGCCCTTAAACCAGAACCCCTGCCCCTGGGGCCATGAATTTCACAATTTTAGAAGAGGCACTCTTACTCATCATAACTATATACTTAGTTAGTTTATTTAATACCCAGGATCAGAGAAGAAGATTTTCAAAGAATTAATGCATTTTCACTATATAATCAATAGAGCCCCGCCCTAACACAAGAATCCCAGACCCTGGGGCCATGAATTTCACAATTTTGGAAGAGGCACTCTTACTCATCATAACTATATACTTAGTTAGTTTATTTAATACCCAGGAGCAGAGAAGAAGATTTTCAAAGAAATAATGCACTTTCACTATGTGATCTATATAGCCCCGCCCTAGCACCAGAACCCCTGACCCTGGAGCCATGAATTTCACAATTTTGGTAGAGGACTCAATGCTCATTACAATGATGCCAACAGTTTGACTGCTTGATGTCCAGGAGTAAAGAAGAAGATTTTTAAAGATTGCATTAATTTTGGTGGTTTTAGCCCCACCCCTCAGGCCCCAGGGGGGCAGGGACCATGAAATTCACAATTTTTGTTCCCCTTTACCCATAAATACTATATGCCAAATTTGGTTGAAATTGGTTGAGCGGTTCCAGAGAAGAAGCTAAAAATGTTCAAAAGTTTACGACCGACGAACGACGTACGACGACGGACGAAAACAGATAGCAATAGGTCACCTGAGTTTACTCAGGTGACCTAAAAATAGCAACAATTATTGTGTTTTATTTTCATACATAATTTTTTATTAACAAAATCAAGTTGTCTTTCTATGATTTGACTCTTCCTGACAGTTTTTATTTGATTTTTATATTGTGCATTTATTAACAGCAAATTTTAAAGTCTAAAGCATCTTACTTCCAAATAAAAAAAAAATACAATTTCTTTAAAAAAAAAGATACAAAAAAATCATATAAAATAAATAAGAGCTAATATCACTCTTTCCATGGTAAAACCTTATTTTAAACGACATGTCTTGAGAAATCAATTAAATAAAACGTTAGAGTAGCATTCTTTAAGAAAGAACTTTATACTTTAGTGTCTTATATACTTTATATCTTTTCAATAGCGTCATAAATCAGTTGTAATTGTATTAGGGTGATGATGATTAAGAAAAATATCATTCTAACATTAAGATGTAAAAAAGGTTTTTTAAAAAGTTATGTCTCTTCTTGTTTAAGATCAACTTTGCTATGATTTGGTGAAAAGCAGTTCTAAAGAAATTTCTACAAAGAAGATCGAAAATCAAAGCATAAACATGTAAGTAAATTATTATAACTTTTCTTCTTGGTCTAATATTTTGCACTGAATTATGACAAAAGATACATAATTCATTAACATTTCGTATAGCGCTTTTAAGGGCCATGAAAACTGCAATCAAGCTTTTCCGAACTTTGTCTTTCAGGATAGACGATAATCGTTGGAATATGATTCTTGCTTTACTGGCAGTGTTGGCTGTTTTTGTGTTTGTGATTGCTATTGGGGTTCTTCTTATTATAATCCGATTGAGACTATTCTCGTCTCGGAAAACTACGTCTGGCGAGCGGTTGCTGAAGCCATGTACTAACTTAAAGGAGGTTTAACAAAATGGAATTCTTACATGTAGTTATGTTCCCCAAACGAAGTTTGGGAACATATTGTTTTTACTCTGTTTCTTATTATTATGTTCCCCAAACGAAGTTTGGGAACATATTGTTTTTACTCTGTTTCTTATTATTATTATTATTATTATTTTTCTTCCTGGGTACTTTTTTGTCCGTGAGTGATCTCCGAAACTACACATCCGATTGAGGTGAAACCTTTTTAGGGTTAATAGGAATGTTATGTAGATTTGCGGAACGAAGGTCATTTTGCGCGCACGTGCATGCACGTGCGTGCGCATGCAATGAGTAAAATGACCAATATACTTGATATAGCCATAACTTTCATATCTTTTGATGAAATACTTTGATACTAAGAATATAAGGATATATTAATAGTGTAGACAAGATGACATAGTCAGAATGCACATGCATGCACGTGCGCGCATGCGCATTGATTGAAATAACCAGTAAAATTGATATAGACCTAACATGTACATTTTTTGATGAATTGCTTTGAAACTCTGAATATAAATACATATAAGAAGTGTAGACAAGAAGACTTGATCAGCGCACACATGCATGCACGTTCGTGCACGTGCGTGCAGGTGCAATGAGTTAAATGACCAATATACTTGATATAGCCATAACTTTCGTATCTTTTGATGAAATGCTTTGATACTCAGGATATCTGGATATATTAAAAGTGTAGACAAGATGACATGGTCAGAATGCACATGCATGCACGTGTGCGCATGCGCAATGATTGAAATAACCAATACAAATAATATAGACTTAACTTGTACATTTTTTTGATGAATTGCTTTGAAAGTCAGAATATGAAAATATATTAGAAGTGTACACAAGATGACATGGTCAGCGCACACATGCATGCACGTGCGTAAGCGTGCAATGAGTTAAATTGCCAATATAATTGATATGACCATGACTTTTACATTTGTTGATGTAATGCTTTGATACTCAGAATATATAGACATATTATTAATGTAGACAAGACATCATTGTCAACATGCAGATGCATGCACGTGCGCGCGCATGCAATGCTAAAATGACCAATATATTTGATATAGCTGTAACTTTTATACTTTTTGATGAAATGTTTTGATACTCAAAATATGTTGATATGTTCATAGTGTTGATAAGATGACACGGTCATTATGGACATGCATGCACGTGCGCGCGCGTGCAATGCGTAAAATGACAGATATACTTAATATAGCCGATTTTTTTTTTATCTTTGATGAAATTTGAATATAAAGATGTATTAAAAGTGTAGACAAGTTGACATGGTCATTTTGTACATGCATGCCCGTGCGCACGGGTGTAATGCGTAAAAAAAAATACTTGATTGCCTTATTTAATGAAGCTTACAGGGAATGACACCAAAGGGAAGTTGGGGAGCGTTTGGGGAACATCTGTAACGGTCCCCGTTACAATTAATACTAGTTATTATTATTATTATTATTTTTCCTGGGTACTTTTTTGTCCGTGAGTGATCTCCGAAACTACACATCCGATTGAGGTGAAACCTTTTTAGGGTTACTAGGCATGTTATGTAGATTTGCGGAACGAAGGTCATTTTGCGCGCACGCGCATGCACGTGCGTGCGCGTGCAATGCGTAAAATGACCAATATACTTGAAATAGCTGTAACTTTTATATTTTTTGATGAAATGCTTTGATACTCAGAATATAAGGATATATTAAAAGTATGAACAAGATGACATGGTCAACATGCACATGCATGCACGTGCGCGCACGCGCAAAGCGTAAAATGACCAATTTACTTGATATAGTTGTAACTTTGAAACTTTTTGATGAAATGCTTTGATACTCAAAATATTTGTATGTATTTAAAGTGTAGACAAGGCGACATGATCATCATGCACATGCATGCATATGCATGCACGTGCGCGCGCGTGCAATGTGTTAAATGACCAATTTACTTAATATAGCCGTACTTTTTATATTTTTTGATGAAAAGCTTTGATATTAAAAATATACAGATATATTAAAAGTGTAGACAAGATGATGTGGCCACCATGCACATGCATGCACATGCGCGCGCGTGCAATGTGTTTAATGACCAATATACTTAATATAGCCGTAACTTTTATATTTTTTTATGAAAAGCTTTGATACTAAGAATAAACAGACATATCATAAGTTTAGACAAAATGGCATGGTCATTATGAACATGCATACAGGTGCGCGTGCGCGCAATGCTAAGATGACCAATATACTTGATATAGCCGGAACTTATATATTTTTTGATGAAATGTTTTGATACTGAGAATATAAAGATGCATTTATAGTACAGACGGAATGATGTTGTCAACCTGCACATGCATGCACGTGCGCGCGCGTGAAATGCGTTAAATGACCAATATATTTAATTGCCTTATTTAATGAAGCTTACAGGAAATAAGACACCAAAAGGGAGTTGGGGAGCGTTTGGGGAACATCTGTAACGGTCCCCGTTACAATTAATACTAGTTTATTTTATGTTCCTTGTATTTTCAACTTACATATTTTATATAAGTTGTTGAGATGTATGAATTTATGCACTTGTGGTTTTGTACAAATGAGAATGTGATTGGAAAAGCATAATGGCGCATGCAGTATTTTATTATAGTGTATTCCTGATTTTTAAGTTTCATTGTAGCTCGAAAGTTTTACACTTATTTTTTAGCGATGTATTCAGTTTCCATTGATGTAATAGACTTAGATTTCGTTTTCAGATAGGTAATTTTCATTTTTTTTTTTTTTAATAAGTCTTCTTTTTATAGTTGTTTGAAAGATCTGAGGTTTGTTATTATTCATTTGAATGAAGTTAGTTCATAATAGTAGATAATACTGTAAGCAAATATTTTTCACTTGGAATCACGAATATTATTTATATACAGTTGAACTTCGGTATCTCGAACACTGATTTCTCGCATAATCACCGGTGTAAGATTGACTTGTCCGGTGTGAGACAGCAGTGTGAGATTTTTCTGTCTTACACTGTGTATTACTACGCCGCGAACGATAACGTAAACATTCCGTCTTTATATAAAGAAATTGTAACAATGTTAAAAAATATTACATATACTTAAAATGTTGTCATTTAACTTATTAAGATAAACTTATTTTCATTCAAAATATTGTCCTATTTTCACTTTTTAAATGGCACTATTTTTAGATCGCGGAAGATTCTTCTTGAATGAATGTATCAGATAGATAAGTTTTTTTATTCCCAGTTTTTATCTATCTAATTAATTTACATGGACTGAAATTCATTTTATCAGTTTACACTATGTGTAAACCATTTTCAGGTACGCTCTCTCTGATGGTGTATTTAGATTTTTAATTAGATGGAAAATTAAAAGAATATATTTTTAGCCCTATCATGACGACGTCATTGACAGGCCGTTATTTTGGATAAAATAATGCGAGAAAAATAATCATTCATCACATACTCGTGTGGGAATAATAGAATCATTCATTACTACGAGTGTGGGATAGTGAAATTCCACCAAGGGGACAAGATTCACGGTCTAGGACGAGGCTTTGCCGAGTCCTAGACCGTGAATCTTGGCCCCGAGGTGGAATTTCACTATTCCCACACGAGTATGTAATGAATGATTATTTTTCTCGCATTATTTTATCCAAAATAACGGCCTGTCAATGACGTCGCCATGATAGGGCTAAAAATATATTCTTTTAATTTTCCATCTAATTAAAAATCTAAATACACCATCAGAGAGAGCGTACCTGAAAATGGTTTACACATAATGTAAACTGATAAAATGAATTTCAGTCCATGTAAATTAATTAGATAGATAAAAACTGGGAATAAAAAAACTTATCTATCCGATAGCGTACACATTCATTCAAGAAGAATCCTTCCGCGATCTAAAAATAGTGCCATTTAAAAAGTGAAAATACGACAATATTTTGAATGAAAATAAGTTTATCTTAATAAGTTTAATGACAACATTTTGGGTAGACTTTACTTTACCGGTCCCCAGATCCGCAAGATCCGCGTGCTCATTGCACTATGACGTAAGACTTACGTCACTCAACTGATTAGGGTTGGTTTTGCACATTTTTCGACTGGTTAAGGTTAGTCTTGCACCCACCTGAAAGATTAGGGTAAGTCCTTCCATAAGTTTTCAACTGATTAGGGTTAGTCTCGCATCCATCCGAGAGATTAGGGTTAGTCCTCGCACATGGGTTAGTCTAGCATCCGCCTGGGAGATTTGGGTTAGTCCTCGCATACCATCTGAGAGATTAGGGTTAGTGTCTTGTTCTTTTAGATTAATTAAGAAATTCAGTTGCATCTATATTTTTTGCAAGATCTTAATTCAGCTTCAACGACATCTCGTTGGTTTGTTTACATGAAAAAAAATGGCTAAGTACAAAAGAAACGGCACTAAGCATGCGCCGCACGCGCTCCGTTCACAATTATTTTGTGTCTCCTTTTCACTGAATAAACAATAGTTATTACTTTTTTTTTCAGAGAACGAGGTTAAAAACTTCGTTTAAAAACGAAGTTTTAAACTAAACTTTTAACCGTAGAATTCGATTTTGGGGTCAAAAAGGCTTAAAACCTCATATTTTAAATTTTTTTCGATCGCTCACGCGATCTCATATACTGAAGTATATTGAAGTCGCCTACGGCGACACTATATTTTAGCGCGTTTTCTGGGGACCGGTAAAGTCAAGTCGTTCCAACATTTTAAGGATATGTAATATTTTTTTAACATTGTTACAATTTCTTTTTATAAAGACGGAATGTTTACATTATCGTTCGCGGCGTAGTAATACACAGTGTAAGACAGAAAAATCTCACACTGCTGTCTCACACCGGACAAGTCAATCTTACACTGGTGATTATACGAGAATAGTGAAATTCCACCTCGGGGCCAAGATTCACGGTCTAGGACTCGGCAAAGCCTCGTCCTACACCGTGAATCTTGTCCCCTTGGTGGAATTTCACTATCCCACACTCGTAGTAATGAATGATTCTATTAATCTCGAATACCATGGATATGTCTAAGTGATTTCGAAGTCAAGACCACTTATTCCTTAAGCATTCCTTTAAATTACCCCTGATATCTCGAATCCTCGGATATCTCGAAGTTTTTTTATCGGTCCCATCGAGTTCGAGATAACGAGGTTTGACTCTATGTATTGAAAAAAAAAAAAAAAAAAAAAAAAAAAAAAAAATATATATATATATATATATATATATATATATATATATATATATATATATATATATATATATATATATAAGATATTAGATATATTTAGTATTTATTATTTAGATGTGGATCTACAGAAAATGCTAAATAACTTCTTGTATGCAGCAAATTTCAACTTTTGTTGATTTTATTTGAGGCAAAGAGA